GTTTGCTAGCAGTAGATATATGCAAACACATATGAGGCTTTAATTATCCCCTCACCCTCCCTTTCCCCCACATGGGGCTCATCATGCAGGCTGGGCTCACAGTAGTCCAGGACAAAATGGTGCTCACGTGTCATTTTGGAGCTCAGTCCAGGAAGAATGCCCACCTCCACCTGAGAAAGAAGAAAAAGCTGTCCTGGTACTGGACCAGCTCGAAGACCGCTCAAAAAAGGGTTTTTGAAATAGCATTTTTAGGTAAAGCTTTGAGGGAAGGTGGTAAGGTAAATGCTGGAATTTCTCTTTAAACCTTTCTTCTGCATAGACATTTTCAGTTTTTATTTCCTGCTCAAAAGTGAATGCCTCTAAGGGTGCTTTTCCAGTTATATTTTCATGCTTCATCTAAATCTCGAACAGTAATGTCCGGGAGTTGAGATTTAGATTATATAAGAGATGTCTCTTCTTACTCGCAAGCACTGTTGTCAAGGTGAATTTGTTTTGCACAATTCTAGCCTTGGGTTTCTTGAACCAGTTTTCATTAACCTAAAAAGTGTATGTGTAGTTTTATTGTTTAGAAATTGCCAAAATTGAATTTTTCAAATCTCCAATAGTTAGCCTTTTACTTTACTCCTAGTACTGGTACCTGTAGCCAAAACACATATACAGAGCAGAAATTAAGGTTTCTACTTGTCAGCCTTCAGTTACTTTCATTACCTTTTTGTTAATTTGTTTGGTCTTATTTTATTTCCTCTTTTACGTAACAGTGAAGTCACTGGTGTTGTTAGATGCTCCAAGGAAAAGGAGGTATGCCATTTGGTTGTTTTTTCTTTGTAATTCGTTAAATAGCATACCTACATTTCCTTGATGAAGCATTCAGAGAAACGTTGCGGAAACACAATATACCACTACTAACTAGATGAATGCATTATGATTATGGTAGAGCCAAAACAGTCTCTACCTGTATTTTTTTATGACCAGATTATGTATGTGTGGCCTTTGGAGGTATTGAACAATATGGTGCATGTTGTTTTTAACTATATGGGGTTTTTTTAAGCAGTGAGATTAATAAACAGATTGATTTTATGTCACATGTGACTTGGAGATCCCTTTTGGGCTAGACTTTTTAAGTCCCCAGTAGGGCTTCACTTTTTAGATTTTGCCGCTCTGGTGCTACATGTGATGACATCATGTGGTACCCATTACAAACACAGGACAGGTTTAGATCATCCTACTCCATGGGCTTCCAGTCCATATCCAAGTCTTTGTGGACCAGTAAATGTTAGACTGGCTCACAAGACTGTGGCAACATGAAAGTGTGTCCTCACTCACCAATTTCAGATAACATCTAAATACCTTACTCTGTCATGTCTCCAATGCCATGAAGTACATAGTTTCCTGTTTCTCATAACAAACCTTTTTTCGGGGTTTCTACTCCACCATCTATTTACAGTTGCCTAAAGTGATGATACACATAGCGGGCCTCCCCCAATACCTTTTGAACTGCCACCATTGATGTAATAACTATTGCAAAATAAATGCATCTAATTATAATTACTTGCCCTATTTGTTTTTTAATGTTTTTATTTGCCAAATGCTAAAGTGCCTCTTCTCCTTCTCCTCTTACTATAGTCCTTTACTGCCATTATGACTCATTAATGTCAATGCTGGCAGGCATCTTCCTTGATCTCTGGATCTGTGGGATTTTTTCCTGACATTTCTCAATAAGAAAAAAAAATCTTTCTTTACACAGATCTCAGTTTCCCTACTAAGTGTTCCCGTGAAGGCACTAATGATGTAGCCTTCCTATGGGGCAGCTGAGGATACTTACTGTAAGATGTTTTATCAGCATGCAGAGATGTCAGCACCAGGGATTTTTAGTGTAGGGGATGAGGGGTCCACAAAATAAGACATCATGTCACTCCAGTTGGTCATGGCTTCCTTAAAACGGACAAAGTTTCTGCCATAAGAGCATAACTCTGATGCCTATCTATATACCTCAATGTTCCCTAGGGCTGCAGCTAACGATTATTTTCAAAATCGGTTAGTTGGCCGATTATTAAGTTCAGTTAATCGGAAAAAAGAAAAAGGCTCCAGTGATGGACTACTAGTTTGTATTGATATTGTAGTCCATCACGGGAGCAAGCTTGGAGCGGTGGAAGTAAAAAAAAAGTGTGGTGTGCAATATACTACATTATACAGCGGCGCAATGCAGAATACCAGCAGCTTTAGAGGAATACAACAAATCGCAGCAATAGTACACTATAGTTATAGTACTATTACTGGGATTTGTAGTCCTCTGTAGCTGGCGTTATTCTGCATTGCGCTGTATCATTTATTATTGCTGGGATTTGTAGTGCTCTATAGCTGGTGGTATTCTCCATTGCGCTGTATAATGATTATATGGCGCAATGCAGAATACCACTGACCAGTTATAGAGGAACTACAAATCCCAGCAATAGTACATTATACATTGCAATGGAGAATACCACCAGCTATAGAGGAACAACAAATCCCAGCAATAGTACATTATACAGGCTGCTTAATGTATTATTGCTGGGATTTGGTGTTCCTCTATAACTGCTGGTATTGTGCATGGTATATTGTATTGTGCATGGTATTCTGCATTGTATAATACGGTGGCAGAATACCACCGACTAATATATATATTCTGGTCAGTGGCGTAACAACTGGGGGGGCAGCAGGTGCGCTTCCCCCGGGCGCACAGCTGAGGGGGGGGCGCTGGCCGAAAATGGCACTTTTGGCTAAATGCCGAAAGCGTAATTTTCCTGCAGATACGATCGGTGCATCCGGTGTCTCTCCTCCCAGACCGCTCAGCCGCCTATCACAGTCCGGCAGAGTGGTGTGGGGGCGGAGACAGGCCGCGCTGTCACAGGAGGCGGAGCTCTCCTCCCTGCTCTGCTCGCTCAGCCTCCTGTGACAGTGTGTCAGAGAGGAGAGCAAGTGCAAACATTGTATGTGTACTGTATCCCCAATTATGAATGCATGGGAGTGATCTACATCACCTCCTGTTCATTCATAGTTGTAGTTATAGTAAACAAATAATGTTCTCATGTTATCAATGAACAGGAACACTCATAGAGGCTTCCTGTTCATTGATAACAGGGGACACAGAAAAAGAGATTGAGGACTCAATCTCTTTTTTTCTATTTTAAAAGGGATATATCCGGGGGTATGTTTAGACCCCCAATATTTATAAATGTTCTATTCTTAGTTCTATAATGGCATTGTAGTACTTTCAGGTGGACAGTAAATAATAGAGCTTCATAACATATCAGCTAGGGAACTACAAGTCCCAGCATGCCCTCATTGCCCCTGTACAACAACCAGATATTGCCGTTCCCTGGGTGATATGTGTAATCATGGGCCCTCGATTGTCGACGGGCCAGCGGCGAGTCAGGGAGCTCACAACAGCAGCATGCGCGGCTTCAGTGTACTGTGCGGTGGGCGTGGCTTCAGCGTCCTGGGAGCAGCGTGTGACGTACGTGCGGCTCAAGCCGTCTGTGGAGCCCCGAACAGGCTAATCAATCAAAAGTCGACGATCGAAAACGTCGACAACGTTTTCGATCGTCGATTTTAATCGACTTAATCGATTAACTGTTGCAGCTCTAATGTTCCCCTCTACATGAGGGCTTTCTATGTTAAGGCGGCCATACACCATCGCACGACTTTCGTTGGCCATCTTGGACAGGCAGATCGTACCTGTGATCATCGCAAGTCCTCCCTGCTGAGGGGAGGACTTACAGATGATTGCAATGGTGAGCGGGCTTGCACACCTCAGGCCGTGCGGCTTTCGTCTTGCGATTGGGCTACCAACCCGCCGAAAAACATGGTTTTCAGCGGGTTTTCTAGCGTGCTCTTGCGACCGTACACTAAATGCGGTCGCACGCGACCCATACACCTTACGATTATCGTACAATCACGGATCACCCGCGATTATCGTACGATCGGCAGGTGTATGGGCAGCTTTACACTTTGTAAAATATTTTTTTACAGTCAATGCCAAAATTCCCTAACAAATATTTGAGCTGTGCACAAATTATTACTTTTGCTTCTTATATATATATTTTAAAAAAGTGACAAGGGTTAAAAGGGTTAAAACAAACTAAAACACTTCAAATCTGTGAATCAGGAAGCTGCACATTAATCAAAACTTTTTTTTTTTTAAATATTAGGGCATTGCGACTAAATGTGTGTTTCACAATAATAGGATTTGTAATATGTTTTCTTGTGTAACTTGATTACATAATACTGTACTTTGTGAATTCACAAACCCTATTTTGGAGCTTTATTTTTCTCTTTAAGGCTCTGATGTTCAGAAAATGATTACAAAGTTGTTTTCTTTTTCTAGGAGAAAATTGAAGCAATTAATCAAGCCATAACCAATGAATATGATGTCCGGAGGAAAATGTTGATTAAACGTTTGGATGTGACTGTACAGTCATTTGGTTGGTCAGACCGAGCAAAGGTAACCTAATGTTTTTGTAAAGATACTAGCAATCTTGTGTTAGAGTTCTGGTGGAACTGTGCTCCTCCAAATTTTGGTTTGCTGCACCATTTCTTTTAGTTACTGTTGACAATGCTGCAAAATTGAAGGGAGAAGATGTAGACCACTTAATAAATAAGACCCCGAGTTCTCAATTATGGTTAAAGCTGAACTTCCGGAATAAAAACATTGTTAAATGTATTCCTCAGTAACCACAAGTGATATGAATCCACTTTGTATGCCCCAAATGCATTTGCAAACCCAGACATTGCCTTCTACAAGTAGCATTGACATCACTGTGCTGTGCCTGTGCAGAAAACAGAGCTGCGGATAAAGCCCAGCAGGTCTACGCACTACAGGCTGCCTTCATAGAACTACAGGAGAAGGTGGCTACAAGACAGGCAAAGTGCATGAGTTGTACCTTGTTGGATCACTGCACCGATTAGGAAAAAATGCCAAGGTTCAAGTAAGAATTGACATGCCTCTTGTATTAAACAATCTTTAGCCCCGAGTTCAGGTTTAGGCCTTGTTCACACCAAGCGCGGAGCAGGTGCAGAGCAGTTACAGACCGGAGCAAAACTGCGTCCAATGTATTCCAATTGTATTTTTAGCTCCAGTTCACATCGCAGCGTTCTGTTCCAGAGCAAGTAAAAAAAAAACTGCAGCAGGCCCTATTTTACTTGCTCTGGAATGCATGCAAATGCATCAAAAACACCTGGAACGCACTGAAAGCCCATGTTAAACTAAAAAAATATTTTTTTTACCAAAAAACGGCCCGGAACGCATCAAAAACGCGGCACAACCCACTGCACTGCATGTGCAGAAACTCATGCACATCTGCTCTGCATGTGGTGTGAACAAGGCCTTAAAGTACGGTAAATATGACTCATTTAGTATTGCAAAAAGCAACTATGTATGTTCATATACAAACGGTAGGAATTCTTGGGTAATAGATGTTAGTTTATTGAAGGTTTGTGTTGACTTCTGGTGGTTGTTGGGAAGTAAACTATGTGCATCATTTTTGTACTGATTTACTGTAAAAGTCCAAATATGTTTTTGTATATGGGCATCCTTAATAGTAACTGAAATGTCTGTAGACAATTGAGCAATTTACATTAGCTTGTGATTGAAGGGCGAGTCGGGGCATGTTTTGAAATTGTTAACTTTGATCAAAAATAATCCAGTTTTTTGTTTTACAATAAATAAAAAAATATAAGGTTTTTTTTGTCAGTACTTACCTTTTATGTATGTAAGAAGTCAATGAATGAAGTCTTGAAAGCATGCTTTTAAAACACATTTGTTTTTTATGTTTTTATTCCCAAGACTAAACTGAAATCATGTAGGAACTAGTCAGATTATTTTTCATGTTTAAAGTGACATTAAACCCTCAGGTTTTTTAACATAAACCAATACTGTAATCCATGGTTGTTTCCCTTCTCTTTGCTGCTCTTCCTTTTAAATCCTCATATCTTCTCATGCTTGGGGAGAACTTCCCTTTGCAGCTGAGTGCCTCTTGCTGTAGTGCTGGCTCAGGTTACAAACGTACACACAGACACCATGTAGCCATTCCAGAGACAAGGCAGTCTGCTGCAAAACAGAAGTTCTCCCCCAGCATGAGAAGAGATACAGATTTAAAAGGAAGAGCAGCAAAGAGAAGGGAAACAACCATGGATTACAGTAAGGCACACATTACAGTATTGTTTTATGTTAAAAAATCTGAGGGTTTAATGTCACTTTAATTTATTTGCAAGGTTTTTTTTCTGTTAATGCCTTCTTATTTTGAACAAATGTTTATGTTCAATTCTTGTACTCCATAGGGGACTGTCGCATCTCTGGCCACTAGAGGACAATGTTGTATTTGCATTCACTATACAGATTTATTAGTAAACGTATACCTGTTGGTGCATACTATGAGACTGATTCACCAAAGGAATTGAAAATATAAAAAAAAAAAAAAGCGAAGATTCACTTCAGTTTTCCTATAATGTAAAATGGAAATTGTTTGTGTTTATCTGCACGATTGGATAATTGAAGTGAATCATTACTTTTTTTTTTTTTTGTAGACCTTCTAAATTTCTTTAGTAAATCACTCTCAACAAATCAAATTGGAGGAAGAGGAGAAACTACTTTTTCTTTGGGGTAGAAAGAACATATGCATCCATTTTGAAATGGGGGGGGTTTAAGTAAAAGTTTTAAGAGTGCTAGTGAAAAAAAACAATCATACTTTTTTTTTGTAGAAAAAAAAAGTGTGCTTGTTCATTAATGGGGCAGTTTAGGGATGTCTTTTAACATGTGTAACTTTTTTGGATACTTTATTTTTTTTTAATCATCTTATGTACCGGTAACTAGGCAAATATTTGGGAGAGGTATGTTAAGAATATTGGTCACTGTTTTCTGGGACTGAATTGATGGGAAAAGGAAAAAATGCTGTTGGATGGAATTAAAGGCAAATCGTGTTTTATTTTTGGAAAGAAAGAAAAGGGCTGGGACACAGCAAAGGTCAATAATGCGGTTGGGCACGGTTTTAAGACAGCAGCTAGGAGAGGATACCTGTATTAATGAAGCTTAAGGGGGGTGGACAGTGTGGAATGTACAACACTGCATACACAGTAGAGCAGTCCAGAGCATGCAACATGTTGCAAGGTGTACAAAGTACAGCAGTGCAGAGTATAAGGTCCAGAGTGTGCAATGCAAAGCATACGAAGGTCAAGAATATGCAATGTACAGCACACTGTTAAGAGTAAAGAGGTTTCCAAAGGGGAGCGTTGGCCAGGGCAGCAAACCAGTGCAAGTTATTGACACTTCTGTTCCACTGGATTCCTGGGAACTGCAGCAGCGTCATTACTCCATTCTGAAAATGTTACTTTTTCTTGCTCGTTGTGCTGCAGAGAAAACTGCATCTCAACCAGTTGTACACAGGCTGTAAAAAGCAGCATGCAAGGAGAGAATACCGCCATAGAATGGAGGATCGGAGCTACAGCAGGCGTCATGAGACCAGGTGAATGGAAAGAGGGTGCAATGCCTGGAGAGATGGTCAGGGTGAGCAATACCTTTAGCGGAGCCAGCAGAGCACTTATAATTTTTGAAGTGTTCTGATGAATCATGGGGGGCCTTTGAGCCCAAATTTCCCTCACAAATGCGGGCCCTATTTTATTTTCCCCCATTTCATGAGGCGACAATAAGACATTGTGGAAAAGAGGCTTACAGGTGGTAAGTAATGAGATGTAAAAGTTCATTATAATTAATCTGTCATCTAAAGATGACTGTTTTGTTATTTTTATTGCTGTGTAACAGTTCTGACAGAATATTAATTTTCTGTATTTTTCATTTCATTTTGATAGACTCATTCTGACAAACTGGCCAAGGTTTACCAGCCAAAGCGAGCAGGCTTATTAGGTAAAAGCGTAATTTCTGTCGCTAATCTATTGGCAGCGCGACATGATCTCTCAAAAATCCTGAGGACTAGCAGTGGATCCATCCGGGAGAAGACTGCTTGTGCTATAAATAAGGTAAGCTAACTTCGCAAACATGTTCTTGTTTTAAGTAACTGAAAGGGATAGTTTTTCCAATAAAAATTGCCCATGCATTCAAGTGTCCCAGTTACATAAAAAAAACCACTGGCCAGCTTTGGCAAAAGAAGCTTCTTTTCAGCGTCTTAGCTGTAGGACATGAGCAGCCTCCTATTGTAAGAGACCCTCTCCTCATTCATAACTTGCATATGTGTAGATTGCTCTCACTCTGTCGCAGCGGACAGAGGGACAGAGAGAATGCACTGCTCATTTGCAGATTTGAACGAGGCCAAAAGCCTTTTCCTGTGGAGGGTTGAATTGGGTAGAGCTTTTCAGACAGTGCTACCGTCTGGTTCTTCAGAACAGCTACTTCCTTATACGTCAAGGGATCCGCCTTGCGCAGGTTCCCTGGTTCATATTCCGTTGGACACCATCTAGGTGTTGCTTTGTCTTCACCACCAGGAGGAAGTGAGAGTCCTGTGACAGGGGAGCTTGTCTGGCCCTTGCACTGGATGATGCCAATAGTATTAGCCTCACTTGCAATGTTCCCTCTAAGAGAAATACCTTGGGAACTAGTTCTTCTCAGCCTGTAGGTTTGCACACCTAAGTGCACCTCAGGTCCTATGTGGAAAGTTGGAGATCACTGGAGGGCCCTGGGCCTTCCTGGATTGTCAGCAGGTGGAACACTCTGGTTTCCTTCTGCAGGTACCCTCTGCCACAGCAGATAAGCGTTCTCTACTTTGCTCCCTGCTCTCTAACCTGATCTAATTTGCCTGGCCCCGGGTCTCGCACAAGAGGGGGGGACCCCGAAGACCACGGCAGAAAGGAACAAAGCGTGTAGCGAGAGAGGCAGCATGGAGCGGTACACGGCCAGCCGCCGGAGATAGAGAGCGGGGAGGGGCAGGAGAGATTTAAGCGAGGTAGGGGAGTGTGATTCAGGCTGGTTACAAGTGATTTTGGACGGCTGTACAGCCAGTCAAGATCACTTGTACGAAACGGCTCCCACACTACATTTAGCCATGCTGCTTGCCCGCAGCCAGGCTAAATGTAGAAAAAAAACTACTCGCCCGAAACTGTCTGTCCCGGGCGTCGGGCGATATGAATTCCACACCCTTAATGCTCTGGCCCTCTAGCAACTTCAGCGTGAAATTATAGCTAATTTGCCTACAAACGTATATACATTTTTATTTATTTTTTCTGTTAGGTTGGTTGTTTGTATGGTCAGTGAGCAATGGCGAGCTGCTCCTTTGTGGTGGCAATAATTTCTGCCCAAGAGTTTTCTTGAAATTAAAGATATATGGCCACATTCACTGATGAATTATTTCAATTACATAAGTGTGCTATGATTTCAGAACACTCCTCCTGGGAAAAAAGTGGTACAGAAAATCTCTGCACTTTGTGAGCGTACACGTTGAGCTAGCTACTTGATACTTATGGGTATGTTTTTTTCTAAAGTGGCATCTCTTTTTGGGAACAAATTGAAACACATATTTTACTGAGCGATACATTTAAGGAAAACTACAATAGATTTTGAATTTATAAGTCATCCTGCTGACTGTCATTTTAAGTGTAAATTGATTTTCTATTGCATAATAAAATTCACAGCTGCTAATTTGGGCATTTTAATAAGAATTTGTAACTAGACTGTGTAACTGCTGTGATATTATTTCCTGTTTGGAATGATGATGCCTATAAATTGAAATGCCAGATATCTGTACCATCTTCTAGATTATTCACTGTGGAATTAGATGACCTGCCTGTTGAGAGAACAGTCAGTGTGGGCTGTGTAGGTTACGGTATCGAGTACCGATATTTATATGTCGGTACTTCCGCTAGCACGGAGCTGGCTTCCCAGGCAATCAAAAAGCTGGGCAGCGGCCAAACAGCATGGAGACGCATTCCTGGCCAATCAGGAAGCCGGGTGACGAGTCACTACCCGCCGCCCGGCTTCCTTATTGGTCAGGAAGCTGTCTCCATGTTGCCTTGCGGCACTGCTGATCAGAGGAAAACTCCCTCTGACTGGAAGTTCCATTATCGGAGCATTTGGGCGAGTACAAGTACTCTCCTAAATACTCGGTATCGGTGCATCCCTAGCTTTGACTGTCCAGACGTTGCAGCAGTTCGGATAAATCCGGAAGCTTTAGAAATTGGGGCTAGATCTGCCTCATCTTTTGAAGTATCTGGCCTCAGCTGTGTCCAGGAAAAGACCCAGAGTGTTTCTTCCACAGGAGAAACTGCAGACTTTTTGACTTCAGATTCAAGTTCTCCAGTCCAGGAAGAGTCTAACTCTTTAGCATGCGAGTCCTGGACCTGACAGTAGCCTCCTTCAAGGCAGCCTTATTTGCCTAATTTCACTGCAGGCCTTTACAATTCAACATTCTGTCATTGCTGGACAAGTAAATTAAGTCCTTGGACAGACCGATTTTGGATGGCTTTGAGGACCAGGTTGTTCTTGGCTTGGTAGCTCTGGACTCCAGTTGTGGAATTGGGGCAGTCCTAAGCACCCTGTTGGTGCAGGGGGATTTGGTTGTCAGAAAAGCACCATCTTATGATCAGCATCCTGGAACTTTGGATGATTTTGCTGTCTCTGCAGGGTTGTACTAACCTGCTGGAGGGTCCTCTGATTTGGATTCCATCAGACGCCATGTTGGTGGCGTACATCAACCATCTGGGAGGAACCAAGAGTGTCACTGTAGCAAGAGAGGTAGACTCCTCTCCCGCCTTACCCACTGTGTACATCCCAGGCATAGACAATTGGAAGGCAAACTTCCTCCGCCAACAGTGCCTGGACCCGACATAGTGGTCCCTACACCCAGAGGTGTTCCATTACCTTTGTTGCAGGTGGGGGATGCTGGATGTGTACCTTCTATATTCCAGATTTAACAAACAACCTAGACACGTTTGCATTTGGCTCTCAAAACTATCAAGGGCCAGGTTCCTGCCCTTTGTATCTTGTTTCAGAGACCATTGGCCTCTCACTCTTTGTTTAGACTTTTGTAAATGGAGCTTCCCATGAAGTACCTCTTGTTCATTCACCTCTGACTCCGTGAGACCTGAATCTGGTTCTCGCTGCGCTATAAAAACCATAGTTTGAACCCATTGATGCATTGCTCTCTTTACTCTTGCCCACAAGATAGTATTCCTTGTAGCAATCACCTCTGCAAAGTGAGTGTTTGTTTGAACTGGCGCCCTTTCTTGCAACTAACCTTTCTGGTTTTGCATAGGGACAAGCTGCTGGTGGGTTTTCCCAAGGTAGTTTTCTGCCTTTCACCTCAACCAGAGCCTTTTTCTCCTGTTTTTCTGTCCTGCTCCAGGTCATAAAAGGAAATTTCCCTTTTATTGCCTGGATGTAGTTTGAGATCTCTCAGCCACTTTTTCCTTTTAGCATGGTGCCTGTAAGGGTGCTCTGGCTCCTTGTTCCACCATTTTTAATTGGCTCAGACAGACCATCATTCTAACTTATGGTCTCAAGGGCCCACTCTTTTGTCAAGGCGCATTCTGTGAGTGATGTCGAAAGGCTAAGAAGCAATCAACAGTTTCCTAGATTTCTAAGGCTTTCTTGGATTTTACAGTGGGTACAGAAATACTATTACATTCTCTGGGACATCTGTAATTGGATCATATCAATAACTGCTTAGATCTGGTAAGCACTCTTGCTTGGTCATTGAGAGAATCAAGCAGTAGAGCTTGTTACAAGAAGGAACTTGGCACTTCCGTTCCATCTTTTTAAAGTGATATTAACCACCTCCAGTCCCCCGGCCGGACGGGAACCTTCTAGATGCGGGTGGGTGTCTTTAAATGTCCTTCATGCTTGCGCCGTCCCCCTGGCGCACACGAGCGGGGAAACTGCCAGAATTTCAAATAGCCAGCGATGGATTTTTTTTTTTTCTTTACAAGCGGTCCAGCATCTCTCTGTGTCCACCACCCACCCGTCCCCCTCCCAAATAAAATTTACACGCACACAAAAAAAAATCCACAACTTTTTTTTAAAGTCCCCCACATAGATGCACAAAAATGCGATGGGTGCGCCTGCACGCAAAAACGACGATTGTGCCCATTACGCCACACTTGTTCCATATCATCGCGAGCGTCGGAGTGTGAGCAATAATTTTAGAGCCATCAATCACTGTTAACACTAAACTGATGAGCGGTAAAAATCTTTTAAAACATCGCCTATGGCCAATTTTGGGTGTGGTAGGTTTTTTTTGCGATTTCGCCGGGGGGCGCAATTTTAAGGCTTGACATGTCGGGTGTCTATCCGACGTGACACTGTCTTTTATATTTGACCAAAAAAAATGGGTAAATCATAAATGTTTCCTAACATGATAAATGGAAAACAGTTTGGGGTGTTAAAATGTAGTTTGCGACCACGCCTGCTCATGCGCGCTGCCTGCGATGGCTGTATACATACAAGTGGTTCCGGTGTCTGTAGAGACACCCGATCGCTTGTGTGTGGTACCTTCGCATGCACCCCCCTCTCTTCACATCTCCTCCGCTGCCGATGCTGCGATCCCGGGCTCCCTGTGCTCTGTGCCTGATCCAGGACTGGCATTGTGGCTCTGTGCAGGGAGAATGGAGCGAGAACAGTACACAATCTCCATCCGATCTCTTCCCTGTTCTGTGAATTCAGGAAATAATCTTTATTACATCACTTCCACATTCAGCTGTCACTCTTTGGCTACATAAGCCAGAGCGAAGCTGGTGAAGCAGATCTCTGCTTCATCAGCTTCTTTGAGGGTCCCTAGGTGACATTAGTGGTCTTAGAGACCCCGGATGTCTCCATAAAGAGGACCTGTCACTTTAATTTGATATCACATAGAGGGCTTCTTAGCACTCATGTGATAATGATAAAGTTAAGTGTAAAAAAAAAGTAAAAAAAAATTAGTCACACAATTTTTTAATTTACACACAAAAGAACCCTACAAAAAATGTTTTAAAGTCCCCCACCCCCACATACATGAGCAAAAATGTGGCAGGTGCGCCTACGTGCAAAAACGATG